ATAGTGTCTACCATGGAAAGCGAAGTACCTAGTAGCATTAGTGGCAGTAGTAATATTAACAGAATTGTCTAGTGGTCACAAAATACTGAAAGTAGAAGCAATAATCATTCCCATTTTTCAAATGAGGGGTCTGTGGTCCAGTATGGTTAGAACACCTGTCCATGGTCTCATGACTAGTTAAGTTATGCAGCAGTTTTTAACTCAGGCCTTAGCTTTTTGGCATCGGAGTGGAGCATCTCCCAGAATGTTTTCTTTGGAAAGCGAGTCTGACAAAATTGCTCCTTGAAAAAAAGTGTATTTGGTCAAACAAGCTTGAAGAGACTCTGACTATTCTTTTATTGGAGATAAAAACTGAAAAGTCTTGCAGTGTATAAACCAATCACTCATGTGATTGGTTAATCCTTTTCCATCTTCCCCTAAGCTTACTGAACACAACACTACTTTTTCAAGTAACTCCCTTAACCTGCTGGAGAATTGATACTACAAGGGTGATTCTCTTTGGAAACCATCATCATAGCCAAAAGAGAAGAAAGGTTTCTGGGGGCCTGAAGAATAGTTCATATCTTCAGTGAGAAGGGGGCTAGAAAGAGCCAGTTCCACCTCCGATCTTGGAGAGAGAATCACTTCTGTTCTCTGAGCACCTAAGGGAAGAATAGAGCTAATTCGAACAGGTCTGAGCAGTTTTCTGAGAAGTTAAATAGGCTCACCCTAGAGCACAAAAAAGAAAAGTGCCCGGAGTCAGTCACTCAATTCACTGAAATAGCAAGGGGAGATTTTTATTTAAGAGGGAGTGAGTCACTATAGATTTTTATATAGAGAAACATACTATTTATGCCATCAATGTATAGAGGTCCCTGTGATTCACATTTTGGTTTTAGACACTAATCTTCCAGCACGACATCGTGCAGCGTCAAATCACCGTCAGGCAGATAGCCATGCTTCCGTTTAGGGCCTTCACTTCAGCTGCAAATTGACAAATGAACACAAAACCAGTTCTGACCTAAATAAAGCATTGAATTTGATGAGTCTAAAGTTCTGGCTCTACAACATTCAGAGTTTCCAGGGTCATGGAGCTGAGGTTCTGAGAAGCAGTGGACCTTTTTTTTTTTTTTTTTTTTTGCGGTATGTGGGCCTCTCACTGTTGTGGCCTCTCCCGTTGCGGAGCACAGGCTCCGGATGCGCAGGCTCAGCAGCCATGGCTCACGGGCCCAGCAGCTCCGCGGCATGTGGGATCTTCCCAGACCGGGGCACGAACCTGTGTCCCCTGCAGCGGCAGGCGGACTCTCACCCACTGCGCCACCAGGGAAGCCCAGCAGTGGACCTTTCATGGCTAAATTAATGACAGAGGCCTATAGCCCTAAATTATAAATTTTATCAGAAGGTAAAACCCTCCCCAGGGTTTCTAGTCAGGTGGCAGAAACATTAGCATTGTCTCCACCGTAATTTTAGAAACTATCATTTGCTACTTTTGTTTTAATTAACTAATTAACTTGGCTTTAATTAACATTGTCGTGAAGGCCCACTTAGGCTATTTGCTAAAGCAACTGCTAGTCCTTTCACGTACACTGTCCAAATTACAATTTGCCTGGAATTGGCTCTCTTATGTGAATTCCAATATACCCAACTATTATCAGAGCTTTCATGATTTCCAGTTGCTTAGGTTTCATTAAGTGGTGATTAGTCTCTATGAAGTGATGTTCATGCTATTTCTCCCTCTTTAGAATCCTCTGCCTCTTTCTTCTCTCTCTCCAGATCTTTCTTCTCTTCCAAGGCCCAGGTTCCTCAATGAAGCCCTACGAGATTAAACCATCTCACAGATTTTCCCTCAACTGGACTCAGAACATTTAGCAGACATTCCTCACACCTTCTTCCATGATTATTTATTCACAAATATTTACTGAGAACTGAGCATTCCCAGACACATCCTGGGGATGTGAGGGTTGTTCTGTGTATGTATGCAGTAGTTTCACAACTATCTAATGAGATCTTAAAAGTATTTGGATTAACATATACACACGACTATATATAAAACAGATAACCAACAAGGACCTACTGTATAGCACAGGGAACTCTACTCAATATTTCATAATAACCTATAAGGGAAAAGGATATGAAAAGGAACACACACACACACACACACACACACATAACTGGATCGCTGTGCTGTACACCTGAAACTAACACGATATTGTAAATCAACTATACTTCAATTTAAAAAACATCTCCCTCAATGCCGAGCACAGTGCGGACACACAGCAGTGCTCGTGGATGGATTAGGAATCTGGTGGGCATCAGCTCTTAGGGACCACACTGCCCCCGTGAAAAAGACCACTCAGTTCACTGACTTGAATGCCTAGATTTCAGCTGATAACGCTTTGCTCTAGACATATAAGAAGAAATACATTTTCCTAAAATCAAACCCTGTTTTTGAATCAAGCCTCCGTGAAGAGCCTGCTCTGTGCCAAGCACTGTTATAGGTTCTGTGGATACAGAGATAAATAAAACATAGTCTTTGAGGTGCTTTCGGTCTCCTGAGACAGAATTAAAAACAGGTAAGTTCAATGAAGGGCTACAGGGCCGTGATAGGAGTCTACAGGGAAACAGCGGGGCCTAAAAGTAGCAGCAGTAAATTCTACATGCTGGGAATTAGCAAAACTTTCCAAGGGACCCAGTTCAAATGATAGAAACTATCTAAACATTTTCATCTCTGCTAAGATGTCCTCAGGGCTTCTCTACTGGCTAACACAGGATACAGCCAAACTCTCATTACCTGGCAGGAAAGGCCCCTGGTGGTATAACAACTCCTTTCCTGGCCAGACTTGCATCTAGTCACTCCCTGCTTGACTTTCCATACTGACCCACTCACAATTTTCTTGCTTTCAGGCCTCTATCAAGGTGGCTACTTTGGTATAAAATATACCTGCCCCACTCACCTGCAACTCTCACTTGGCCAACTCCTACCCATCTTCAATATCACTTCTACTGGAAAGCTTGTCCTGACCAGCTGGAACTGCATTAGGTCCCTCTCTTCATGGGACCTAATGAGCATGTGCTTCTCCGTGTAGAGCACTTACCAAGTTTGTTAAAATTACCTGCTTAACTGTAAGTCTCCCTTACCCACGCACATAAGCGCACGTGTGTACACACACACACACACAATACCGTGAATTTACTAGGCACAGGGCCATGTCTTACTCATTTTCTGTGCCATTGGCACCCAACACAGTACCAGACACATAGTCAGCACTCAAAAATACTTGTTAAATTAATGCATGGACAGATGGATAGATATACAAATAATGACGTGTGAGCAATTGATACCCTCGCATTTGACAATGAACAAAGAAGGACTAAAGACAGTGAATAATTATATTTACTGAGCATTTGCTATGGGCCAGGCACTGCTTAAACCTCTTACAAGTATTAACTCTTTTAATCCTCATTTTATAGATGAGGAAACTGAGGCAAGCAGTGGAGCATTTACTTGCTCGAGTCCATACAGAGTAAGTAAAAGACACAGGATTAGAAGAAAGGCAGGCTGGTTTCAGAGCCCGAGCCAGTAACCATTAAACGGATGTTCCCCATTCCAGTTCTTATACATTGTGGCCTGAACTGAGAAAAACTGAGATTGAATGAGTGTGGAGACCGACTCTCCTCCAAGGAGTTTCCCTGAAAACGTCTCCCTGGTTCTTTACTGTACTGTACTTTCTCGGCATGGTCTTACCTTCAGCTGAGCCTGATATGACTTATTTTTATGCTGTATATGAATAACGTACACAGAAGCCTCTGAGATAAAACTTGAACTTTACGGGCTGCCTGAAATCTTTTCTTTGAGTGGCGATATTTAAGTATCTGTATAGATGTTGCTTGTAAGGGGGAAAAAAAAAATCTGACTGACCCACTTTTACTACTTATTATAACTGGGAATTATAAAGATTTACACTACTTTCCTGTATAATAATAATTCTTCTCCTCCCACCCCCCTCCCCCCCTCCTTTGTTCTTCTTCCTGTCCAATCTCATATACAACCTCATGAAATAGGCAAGGAATTCTGATGCTTCCCACCTTGGTCCAGTCCAGTTTAATTCCAACCAGAGGTTCTAAAGTAATCCCTTTACACTGGGAGCACTGCTGAATTCTAGGAATATAAAGATAAATAAGACAAAAACCCTGCCCTTAGGAGCAGCTCACAGAAGAGTGGGGAAGACCGACCCATACACAAATCATTAATTTTTATAGTGTATGAAGTAATAAAGGAAAGAATGCACAGAGGAGGCAGAGGTCACTAAAAAGGGCCCTCTGTCCAATCCGGAAGTTTCAGGAAGGCTTCCTGGAAGGATGACACCAGGGTTGAATCCCAAAGGCTGGAAGATAAGTGAACGACATGAAAACCGAGGGGTACACAGTTCTGGGGAAGAATATGAATGACAGCCCAGAGGTATGATCCAACTGCTGTGTGCAGGGAATTAGAGTGTGTAAAATGTGGGTCAACAGACGACAGGAAATGGGCTGGAGAGGCTGATAGGAAAGAGGTTTAGCCTGAGGACTGTCTGCTGACTCCCTCCCGCTCTCTCGATTCCCTTTCAGTAACCTCTTTGTTTAACACCCACTTTAGATGTCTAATTTCCTCACACTCACAGCCACCGCCCAACAGCAACTTGATGCCTCCCCGCCCATCCCCAAGCAAAACTTAGGTGTCCTCAACCCTTTCTCCCTGCTAGAGAACAGATTCATCTGCGCTTTTAACAATAACAATTATTAGTGACCTGCTCCATCCTTTATGTAGTAAACACTTATTGTGCAACTACCTTGTTACAGAGACTGTGCCAGGTACTCTGATATACATCATCTCATTGGATCACCACACAATATTGTATAATAAAAAGCGTTACCCACATCCACAGGTAAGAAACAATAATAAGTGAGACGTGTAGAGGTTAAGCCACTTTAATTTAGTGCATATTTAATGAGTAGTAAGTTTCAGATTCAAACCCACGTCCACAGGTTTTCATAGCTTTTTTTCACTCTAATATTGCCTTCCTGCAGATTCATTTTCTCAACCATGTATCTCATTTTATAGTTGTTGTTCATAAATAAGGTCACTGTGAATGTACTTCTGCCGCATAAAATATTCATATTTTGATTCTGATTTTACACCCAGGGAAATGACCCCAAAGGTGACCTTTTTTTTTGGTACACAGACAGACCAGTCGAGGTGACATCATAGAACAAGGTAGCCTGTCAGCGCCGATTACGTTCCAAGTCAGCAGAAGTAGCGCGGTATGGGGAAGTGAGCGCGGTCGGCAAGGACGTGGATTCCAGTCCTGGCTGTGCCCCGTCCAAGCTGGGGTCTTAGACAAAGCACGTAACTCTCAGAGCCTCTGGCCGGTGAGGACAATAATACACAGCACGCTCTGCCTTATGCTCACAGGGTCACCATGAGTAGAACACAGAGTATGTCCCACAGTGCAGGTTCATGAGCTGTGATCCGTAATCATGGGGTCATCTCAGCTCCTGCTGACCCCCTACACAGCTCCGGGGGCATAATATGAGGAGGTTCTATAACGTCATTCTTCAGGAAAATTACTGAAATAGAAATATTTGACCTTGGAAATCTGGCCTGAATTACTAGTAAATTACTAGTAAATCACTGCTCTATCCTGGGGCCACTTGCCTTCCAAATTTCCATCATATTCTTAGGTGGTGGGTTAAGAAGTTCCCCTTAAACTCGTTTTCTACAGGGTAGGCTTTCCTCAGAGTTGAAAGGTGATTTGTGGTTTAGCCATTTTTCTCATTCCCCTCGTGGTTTTGGTAGTGCATTTATATTTCTTCACGAAAAAACTTTTTGACTTTTAACTTGACCTAGAATATACGGCTCCATTTTACCTGATGTATAGAAAGGAGATGGCGAATCACTGTGGTAATATTTATACAGAATGTAACACGAAGCTCTCTTTGGTGAGGCAAGTGTGTGCTCACGTTGTTCACTTATGTTTAACCAAAAAAAAAAAAAAGGAATAGATGGAAAGAATCACACCATCCCTCACGTGCACAAGCTTGCTGCCCCACCTGGCTCTGAGGCAACACAACGGATACCCAGCATGGTGGGAGCTGCCAGAGAACCATGACTCTCTCTGTTGAGCTAAAATGGCACAGCCAAAAATGCAAACGAATAACACTGTTTTCTCTAATTTGTTATTCATGTGGCTTTTTTAGTTGGAGAGGAAAAGAGAGACCATGACTTGGTAAACAAACAGATCTGTCACTGACCTTGCTCTTCCGCGAAACAAACAATAACTGAAAACAAAGCGTGGTAAACCTAATGAGGCTCTCAGGGAGGATAAGGAAAATTACAACCCACATTTGTTAAGCAGGTCCCAACTACCTGTGACAGGTAATATTCATATTGATGTATGTGCTGCCGACACAGGCCTCACACTTTGAGAACCGCAAATTTCCATATTCTAAGCTCACAACAACCATGTGAATTAGATATTCTTCTTCTTCTCTGCTTCAAAAGTGAGACAACTGAAGAACAGAGAGGTTAACTGATCTGTCCAAGACTGCACAGCTGTTAAGGGAAACAGGTGGGATTCAAACCCAAGGTCCTCTGAGTCTAAACACCGTGTTTTTTCCATAACAGCATGACTGATAAGCTCTAAAGGGGATATATCAAGTGGCTGATGGTCCCTCCTTCCTGTTTGCCCCATATTAGGACTTCGGCTCCGTGGGCTCATTAAACTCTAGGGCATGGCCTGCCCATTATCTTACCTAGGGATAAGATAATAACACTGCTATTACAGGAGGCTTGCTGTTGGTTGGATTATTAAGCATACTTTCCACTCTCTGCGCATCTAGTGTCGGAGATGACTCTAAAATGTTCTTCCACCCTCTTCCCTTTTGGCTGTGGGGCATACACATCTGCCTCCCTGAAGCCAACATCCAATCAGATCAGCCACCATTCCTCTGCACTCAGGTCCAAATACACAACTGCATCAGTGCCAAATGAGAGGGCGTGGTTAACTCACAGGAGATGTGAAAAGGCCTTGGGATATGAATTGGCCAGAATTTCAGAATGTGGTCCTCACATAAAATTGCCATAAGAACAAAAGCAAGAGCAACCAAGCAAAGACACTTTCTTTAGTCTTAGACGGCATGGATAGAACAAAGGAGGTAATGGAGTGGTACAGTATCAGCATGGATGTCCTCTGTGGTGCGCAGAATAATGACTCCCCAGCATGGTAACATCCCACTTGCTGGAACCTATGAGGATGTTCCCTTCCATGACAAAGGGACTTTGAGGATGTGCCTATGTTAGGGATCTTGAGAAGAGATTATCCTGGATTATTTAAGTCGGCCCAGCGGAATCACAAGGGCCCTTATAAGAAGGAGGCAGGGATATCAGTCAGAGAGATCTGAGGATGCTGTTCTGCTGACTTAGAAGATAGAGGGAGGGTCTAGAGGTCCAGGCAGCCGCTGGGAGTTAGAAAAGGCAAGGAAATGGACTGTCCCCTAGAGCTTCAGAAGGTATGAGGCCCTGCTAACACCATGATCTTAGCCCAGGGAAAGCCATGTTGGACTCCTGATCTACAGAACTGTGAAATGATAAATTTGTATTGTTTTAAGTCACTGAGTTTGTGGTCACTCATTACAGGAGCAATGGAAAACAAACACCCTCGGTAAGATCTGGAGAACAAATACTGACCACAGCACTCCCAAAAAGATATCTTGCCTCAGGCAGAAAGAGAGGAGACTTTGGCTTTCTCCACACAAAACTCCTGTGAGGTTCCATGACATTCTCAGAGGTTTTACTCTGGTCAAATGTGACTCACTCTCTCTCTCTCTCTCTCACTCACATACACACACACGCACGCACGCACGCACGCACGCACGCACGCACTCCACCAGAGATCACTGAGGCAAGAACATTTCTTTATTCATCCCGAGGCTGCATCCGAGCAGGAACTCAGGAAACTGTCATTGTGGTCGCACAGGAGAGAAAAAGGAGATCAAGCCCTACCGAGGCCCTACTTTCGCTCCTCAAAGTATAAAAGGGCCCCACTGTGCTACACCATCCATCTCAACTTCTCCCTAGGTTCTGTCCTGTCCACTTCACTCTGGATCCTACCAGAGTCCTGGTCAGAAACTGAGGGAAGCAGGGCCCACTTGACTCACTGGCGAGAGTCTGGCACACCGGAGAGCGTGTTCTGACTCAGACAGACACGTTGGGACATTGTGGGAGTTGGGGGACGGGGGTGGGGAGGAAGGAGCATCTGAGGGAAATGAGAGAGAACCTGAGTTCAAAGTGAACTGCGGACACGTCCCTCAGGGGCCATCCAGCCACTGGGTACAGCCAAGTGTGAGGCCAATCGCTGAAGAATGGTCCAGGGCAAAAGGAGGCTTTTCTCCTCCAGGCACAGAGCTAGTGGCTGCCATCACAGCACAACGAGAACCAAATGCTCCGGTCCAAATGGACTAGCAAGCACTGTTCTCTTTCGATAGTTAACTAATGAAAATATAAGAAAAAATTCGATTTCAACCTCCACTCACAACAGGAGTCTAATTTTAGGACTTGTTTTAATCTAAAGGATGTTGGAAATATCTGATGATACTTGAGAAAAACTGAGCAAACTGACTTCAGTGAAGAACTTGCAAAGACACATCAGCAGAATGTTAATGTGCCGAATGGGAGCTCAGCAGATGCAGACTTCTGATGTCTTGCCTGTCTCTTTCACTTGCAAACTCCAAATCCCTGCATCAAAGCACAGGTTATCTAATTTCCCCTTGGATATTTCCAGAGGCTTTCATTTAATTGTAGTCACTGTGCAGATACTGCATTGTGACTGCTTCTCTGGGGAGAACGGTGCCAGACAGAGAGCGACCTGTGGGCTGAGACAGAGAGCGACCTGTGGGCTGAAAGGACCAGACAGCCTTTCAACTCCAGGGCATTTCTAACCATCCTCAGTGATGCTAGTGAAGGCCCAGACTCTCCCCTTCTTTCCTCCTTTCCTTGTCCCACAACCCTCGTCCCCACCCCCCAGCAGTCAGCGGACTAGGTCCCTCTCCTGCCACCAGGTGGCAGGCGGGGGTCTCTAGGCATCTCCGGTGGTAGATAGACAGCGTTTCGGTTCTAGATGCCCTCAGCTTGTGCAGCAGTGAGAGAGGACTGCCACTGTGGGCCTGTACAGAACTTGATGCACGCAGCCGGAGGCAAACTTCTGCAGAAGCAGCGCTAACAGTAGATGCACTGATTCCCAGCTGTACCAACTGAATAAGACTCCTAATACAAACTTGCTGGTTTTCTCAAGGTTGTTGAGCTCACATTTGCACTCCTATAAAAATGGTATGGCATATAAAAGCTGAGAAAAAGCAGTATTATTCCCTAGAGTGTGGATGCTAGATTTTTATAACATACATCTTATTCTCATACATCATAGAGGAGCCTTGCCTACATATTCTCCCACCACTCACTTTTGCCACCAGAAATGCCTTTCAAATCCAATAGGTCATGTTCCCAGTGTTCAGTCTTCAGGAATCAAACTGACTACTATCAAGATCTTCCATTTACTGAGGATACACCAAGTGTCCATGAGTGCTATTTATTTAAGCCAATTCCTTTCTTCCAACAACCCTGTTCAAAACTGTCATTGTGCCCCTTATACTGATGAGGATTAGAGAGATGAAGACACTTGCCCAAAGTGGTGAGTGGCTAACCGAGGGTTTGAACTCAACTGTTGCAGTTAAGAACTTTAGCCTTAAAACGCACTAAAACTTAAGGCTTTCTCTAAAGCTTGACCTTCGGAAGCAGAAGCCAGTCTTCCCTGTCACATGCTTAGTCACATCATTTCTGGAGAGGAACAAAGCATGATAACGGGGCAGGTAGCCTTTCACTTCAGTGAAAATTAATGAGTTAGATTCTGCAGCATGTTATATCTGGGGCTCAGTGCAAGTGAGGTGGGGCTGGGGTCTGCTGGTGGGAGGGGGATGAGAAAGGACACCGAGGATGGGGTCAGGCAGTCACTGCTTCTGGATTTAAAATCAAGCTTGTAGGCACTCCCGCCAAAAGTTTAAACAGGCAGAACCTAAAAAAGAGAAGGGGAAATACAGGGTGTAGGAAAAGGATAACCCCAGGGATGATGCTGCTGACGACAGCTTACTTTTATTGAACATTTACAATGTTTCAGGCACTATTATCAGCGCCTCATAAACATTCACTGAATCCTTAAGACAACCCTGTGAAGTAGGTAACATTAGCAGCGTCATGTTATAAATGAGGGAATTGAGAGACAGCGCGGTAAAGCCAACTGCCCGAGGACAGATCCCTGGAAAGGATCTGGACCTTGAATCCTAATCCAAGCAGTCCACGGCCTTCACTGTCAGAAATTATAAGCACTAAGACTGTATTTGAAAGGGTAGTAAAGAGTTTGTATGTAGGAATCAACAAAAGGTCAGGACTGAGAAAGACTTGAGAAAGTGTCATCATCACTGTAATTTGATTTAGGCTGGATATCTTCCTGTTTAACTTCCTCGACAAACGAAATGATTATTCGTTGCCCCATTTTCTTTTGTTAACCGCTTCCCTTACT